AGAGTATAGGGGGGGGGGGGGTATACTCCTGTGCATTTTGCAGCACACCTTCACCTTATATTTTGTACGTCCGCTTAATCCACACGTACAGGGCCCCAGCCTTGCAGTCCGAAACTTGTTGCCACAAGAAAACGAGGCCGAAACGTCAAACGGTGGGCCCGCCATTGATAATTTCAAGCGGCGGAGCATTTTTGTTCCGCGCCTCCAGAATTTGAGATGTCAGGCCCGCGGCCCAGGTGCCCACGTACTGCTGCTGTAACAATGTGCATTTGTACACGTTTAGTCATGCTACACAAGGAGAGGGAGGGAGGAAAAGGGGAAGAGGACAGGGAAGCTCTACACGAGGGCAGGGAGGAGGGAGAGGAGGGAAGCGGAGGGACAAAGAATAGAACAGAGGGAAGAAACAAACTTCACAGAGCTCTCAGTACTCAATGCCGGGGCAGACTTCCATGAAATCGCACACGAGACGAGTCAGCGTTCGGGTTGCAGAGAAATTTTATTTGAGGAGATGGCTCTCCCCACGCACGGTGAGTGGCCACCCCTGCAGATAAGACAGGAGTTCGGGCGTGGGGACTGTGGAAGCACCGCATCCAATTCTCGCAGTTCCATATCGAATGGCTCGACGTACACATGCCACGGCGTAGACAGATGTCGCATGCCACGGCGTAGAAAGATGTCACATGCCACGTGACTCCTGCATGCTAGGAAGAAAGAGGCACGCGGGCCGCACTCGTTATCGCCATTGCCGTTCCAGCCCCCATCTACAAAGAGGACATGCCATGCCAGTGTGTCATACATTGAGTACCATATCGACTGTCATCCTACGCATGAAAGCAAAGGCTTTTGCATGGGCTATACCTTCATAATGCTACAACAAAACACAGCATGCCGATCACTTGCGGCCGAATCTCAGGTGGGCCATCACAGCTCGGCATTAAGTTTCTAGGGTTTTCGCAGATGATATCCTCGTCTTTATAGAGGCAGGCAATGACGGAGGCCGATACAAAGTACAGGTGTTCAGCTGTTACAAAAATCTGGTATGCAACAGCTTGCCCTGGCGGTGATAGCCTTCAGTAAGGTGCACTTTAGTTAGTTGATGTGAGAGTCTATTGTCCACCCCAGGGTCGTGGAGGGTGGAAGTGACCGAAGAGGGAGGAGGATCGACAGTGCACACCGGTGGTCGGACACACATGAGCAGCGATAAAACCTGGGACGAATCAAAATGAATGAAAACAGGAACGAATCAAAATGAATGCGAAAATGAACGAGGAACACGCAAGGATATACCCGACGGGCGGGCGACAAACCTGGACCCGAGGCCCAACGGTCCAGGAACACGCAAGGATATACCCGACGGGCGGGGGACAAACCTAGACCCCAGGCCCGACGGTCCAGGAACACGTAAGGATATACCCGACGGGCGGGGGACAAGCCTGGACCCCAGGCCCGACGGTCCAGGAACACGCAAGGATACACCCGACGGGCGGGGGACAAACCTGGACCCCAGGCCCGACGGTCCAGGAACACGCAAGGATACACCCGACGGGCCGAGGACAAGCCTGGACCCCCGGCCCGACGGTCCAGGAACAGGCCCAACAGTCCAGGACTGGATGAAGCAGACACTGGACCTGTCCAGAGGGGTACCGCTTCAGATAGGGCATTCATCCTTTATCCACTGTACAACAATCTAAATGTACCGGGACGTGAGACACTCAGGCTGAACAAACTTCTTTTAATTGTTTTCTAATTCCATATATTCTTCCCCAAATTTCACCTTTCACTACCTACCTACCGCTACTCCTAAGGCTGTGCAGGGGAGCCCTGCAAGCACAGATACCTCTCGCCATGAATGGCATGGATGTTGCCCCCCTGCCCTAGCGGCGAGTGGTCAGGGAGTAGGGTGAGGCTGCCAAAGGGAAGGGGGGGCGCGGCTAACACAAAGACCAAGCATTTGGGGGGTTAACACCAGATCCAGATACATTTGCAATGATGTGTAGTGGGGGCAACGATAAACTGGACAAGCTGATGCAATGACTTGCTGGTTCCAGGTTGCCTGTAGCCTCTCTCTGACGAGACTGTACCATAGGTAGGGATAGATTCGTAATTTTGTTTGGCTGAGGGCTAACCGAGAGACCTACCTGTAAGGAAAATTCGCGAGGGACATATACGGTCGGTCAGTCAGTCCGGTCCAACATCAGTCCTGGGCTTTTGGCAGTCCAGTCTAGGTTGAGTCTAGGCTAGGGTAGAGTATAGATAGGATGGGAACATCGGTCCTGGTCTTTTGGCAGTTGACACTTCGTGGTGGAAGTTGCTGCGCACAAGGTATCAGGTCGTGGTTACTGATTCCTGCGTGGGAGACGGCGGACATAGCCGGACCTTGGGAGCGCTGACCAGACGGGGGTCAACGCTGTCCGCTCTGACTCTCTGGGTGTCAAAGCGGTCTGGGCTATCAGAGGTCTGATGCACTGGAGCACGTGGTGCACTGCTGACCCTCCTCAGGAGTAGGGTCCCAGTGGCGATGCAGCCATAGCTGCATCTTCTCAGAGGTTATCATCGTCTGGACTTCAACTTCATCAGAGACTGTTGGCACTGGGCTTCTTCTTCATCCTCTGAGTGGCGATTGGCTCTGGGAACCTGTTTCATACTGGCGCAGGCCACTGAGTTGGATGTCAGGGTGGCGCTGGGTGTTACCTGGGGTTCTGGTGCTTCTTTTAGCTGTTCAGAGTGTGTGGGGCTGAGGCGCTACCCCTCTGAGGGTAGCGCGACAGGGTTCTGAGGTTATTCATTGAAAATGATGCTCTGAGTTTAATAAACAGTTTAAGTACTGTGTTTGAGTTGCCATCTCTTTCATTGGTTTATGGCTGTGATCTCTCGGTTGTCTTCTATGAATGATTGTTGGGATTTCTGTGGAGAGAATTCACCGTGTTGTGTATTCTGTCACTTCGCTCCTCTGAGTCTTCCGCTGCGTTCCTTCTGTTGGGCGGTGTGACACTCCACTACCTCTCCCCTTCCTTCTGTGCATGTATGGGCGTGTACGGGAGTTCCAGTGAGTGAGCGTTGACAAAATTTCAATGGACAATCATGTTCATAACACCGAAAGTACAACCCAGCATCAGTAAAAATCGGGAGAGCTGGATGGGAAAAAAAAAAAAGGGGATAAACTCCCAACATGGAAAGCTCATGGCTTGTCATTCTCTTTTTCTTACTTATCTTATTATGGATTACATATTAAAAAGTGAGAATGCATGTGCAATCAACAGCACACAGTAGAAAAATAGAAAGACGTTAAAACCTAGGCTACTTTGCCTACCCGACTGTGCAGCAGCACAGCCGTGCACCCCACGCAAGTCTCGCCTGGGGGTCCCCTGCATGGGGTGGCACCCCGTGCAGGGAAAATCAGCCCTTTATTTCTTTTTTATTTTTTTTGGTTGTTTTTTGTTCGTGTGGAGGTTTTCTGCACATGGCCAGAGGAGCCCAAATGAGGGCTCCTTTCATTTGTCGAGTGTTGCCTGTCAAGGAGGGGGAAAGAGGGGGTATAATAAATTGGTTCTTGAGAGGCTAAAGCTGCTAAAGGGGTTTAAAAGGGGTTGCCTTATTCTGATTCTGCTGTTTTAATTTATATCTTCGATTGCATGAGGAAATCTGATATGCTGCCCGGTACCCTGCCTGGGGTCCATCCCTGGCCACGCACCCACGCATGCATCTGGGCACAAGTGGGTATTTTTCTTTTTTTCTTTGGCGCTGGGGCTGCCCGGTCCCCTGCCCGGGGTCCATGCCCAGCCACGCACCCGCGCGTGCATCTGGTCCACCTCAGTCCCGGGTATGCCCATAATTTTGCATGGGTATGTCCACAATTTGCGCATTCCGGTAGTTGTTGGTTATAAGCGCAATTTTGCAGTACCAACCTGGGGCGACCTCGGTCCTGGGCATGCAAATAATTTCACCGACTGTTTTCTGGGTACAGATGCAAATTCGTGCTGGGATGGGGTATACCGGGTATTCCCATCTTTAAGTGGGGTACATACGCAATTTCCCTCTTTTATTTATTAAGCTAGTGAGAACAGATGCTACAGTCGATCTTATAGCCAAACAAAAGCTGCAGAATGGTATATAAATAAATTGGGTCTCGCTCAACTACATAACACTCTACATTCATTTGGACGCTTTCTGGACCTGGTGCATCCGCACGATTCCAACATTTCGAATGTATATCTGGTCTAGCCAGCGTCCAAATGCCTGCAGTGTGTTGTTTCGTGAAGCGCGGCCCATTGTCGAGCACTTCCCGGACGCACAGATCTCCTTATCTTCTCCAAATCAAACTGGCAATGAATGCGCTAACTGACCTTTGCTGCCATCACACATGAGACTGTGCCATACAACAGTGGTCGGGTGCAAATCCCTTGCGCCCAACAGGTCCGAGGCAGGTTCAAATCCCCCATCAGGTCCCGCGGCAACAGTCCAACAGCTGTCCTAATCAGATGGGCAATGAAAGCACTGACCTTTGCCTGCATCACGCATGAGAATGTGCCAGATGGACAACAGGGGTCGGGTGCAAATCCCCTTGGGCCCAACAGGGGTTTCGGGTTCAAGTCCCAATGAGCCCAACACTTGCCCCGATCGCACGCGAAATGAATGCACTAACTGACCTTCGCCGCCGATACGTGGATTTGATACCATGCTGCCGTGTAATGCAACGTCGCGCTGATGTTGATTATGATCCCACCACCAACTTCATCGGGATCCCTTCCTTTGCCCCCCCTCTTCAGGGCACTCACTGCCGCACTGCACATCGTGAAGGTCCCGACGGCATCGATATCCATCACTGAGCACATAAGTCATCCACGTGTCCACAGAACCACAACCCACGTGTGCACATGACACAACAATCCACGTGTGCAATAAGTACATCCATTCATAAGGACATAGACAGACAAGACAAGAGCTAACTTAAAGAGTCGTGCTAGCACAAGCGTCCAAGAATAGACTGCCTCATTCTCCTCCACCCCCTTCCACTCCACCCTGATATCATTATCACTCGCAGTCGCAGACAACCTTTTTCCAATGACAACAACAACAACAAAAAAAAAAAAAAAAAAAGAAGAAAAAAAAAAAGATAGAAGCTTGACGTATGGTTTCTGTGGTCAGCACCAAGAAGAGGAAGAAGAAGACGAAGAAGCAACAACAGCAACAACCCCCAGGGACTGACGCAGCAGGCAGGCCGAGAAGCTAAAGAAGGTGGCAGAGGGCGAGGGTGAATGTGGGGGAGTGGCGAGGGGTGGTGGGTGGTAGGGGGGTAGGGGTGGGGGAGACTGCGACCGCTTGCGACCCCTGTCGGAAAGGGAGGGGAGAAGGAGCGAGAGCATGTCAGCATCATCCAAGTGAAATGTAAGCCAGGCTCTGCAGCTCCACGTCTCCCCACCACTCATCCATTTCTAGTGATGCAGGGGGGAAGGAGTGAGGGCGAGAGGGAGGTGGGCGAAGAGAGTGGAGGGGGGGGAAGAAGGGGGAAGTGGGATTTGAAAAAAAAGAAAAAAACACACACACAAAGACGAGTACTGCAGGTACACGTACTATGGGCCAATCGTCAGAAAAAATGCCACTGACATCCGATAGTAAACCAGGATTAAAAAATAATAATAATAATAAAATCAAATAAAAGAAAGTAGGGGCCGATCAGCGCTAACGAACCTGTCTTGAACCCGTTGGTGGAAAGTTCGTCTGCAGGAACAAGAAAGTTCCCCGCTGCACCGTTGATGAGAATATCTAGACGGCCAAATTTCTGCAAAGCAAAGTCCACCGCGCTCGCTGCATCGGCTGGATTGCGCACATCACCAGAAGTAGGGACAGCCTTCCCGCAGAACAAAACTTCAGCTTCAAAATTCCACACACAGAGAGAGAGAGAGAGAGAGAGAGAGAGAGAGAGAGAGAGAGAG